GTGGACACCCCTCTGAGCCCCAGGCTACTCAGGAGGAACAAAAGGGAAAGTACTGTGCCTCCCTGCAGGGCAGGTGCCCAATGACGTGGTGCTCCGTATGGTACCCTACACAAACCTTTTAGAGCTTGCCATTATAACAAAGAGACAGCTGCGGCTCACGTGTCACAGGCACGCTACCACGCCCCTGCGCACCCTGTTCTTGGCTGTCTGGGGGTTGCTGCTCCCTTTGTCCAAGACGACCTCGGAATGCTACTCCCTCTACACTCCCACATCCTGACCCCCCTCACGCCTCCAGTGCAGAATTGGAGACCCGGAATGGCTTTCTCTAGCAGACTGGCACCGGAACACTGAGAGTGAGACAAGGTGAGCTCAGTGGCTACTTACTTCTGCTTCACAAAGTCATCTGTGATGAGCTTCCGCAGATCACCAAGGAAAGGGTGCCTCACCCTGAGGGCAAACGAAGGAATCCGTGACTACGGAGGGAGGTTACCGCTCTGTGTGGGCAGGAGCACTCGCCAGCTCCATGCCCAGCTTCCTGGCCCATGGGGCATCCCCATGGGGGTCGGGCACACTGCAGAGGCCAGGGGACAGCTGTCAGCTGTTTGGCGATGCTGGAGGGAGGCCTCACTCTGCGTTCTTTGCCTTTCTGAACTCTCCTCTGGGGACAGTGAGCTGAGAGGGGTTGGGAGTTCGGGACGGATGCCCCCATCCATCCTGCTGAGATCCTCTCCTCTCTATCGAGCCTAGGGCATGTACTCCCATGCACCACACCACAGGCAATGCAATCCTGAGACCTCTTCTGTCCCAGGATGGCACGGAGGGGCAGGGGCAGGGGCAGGGGCAGGAGCTGAGGAGCCGGTCTTACCCAGGCCGAAGTCCCATCTTGCGGAGTGCATCCCAGAGGACAGCTGTGAGGGGAGATTGGGTACGAGAGTCTGGCACACGAAGATGGGACCGTGGGCGAATCCCCAGCTGCAGGGTCCACACTCACCCTCGCTGGCACGGTTGCCATTCATGAAAATGACACCCAGAATCACCAACAGTAGACTCAGCCGGGGAGTGTCCTTGGTCCTAAGGGTGGACACAGAGGGATGCCATTGTCAGAAGCCACTAGCACCCCCTCTGCAGGGAGGCCTCCCCGGAGGAGCACCCCGCCAAGGCCAAGCCAGGCACGAGGTAGCCAGGGACAAGCTGCTTTCCTCTGCTCTTTGGGGAGGCCAGCGCAATCCCACGGCACCAAGGCCTTGCCCCAGAATGCCACTTCCTTACTCTGGCAGTCACCGGGCACAGCGACCACAGAGAAAGAGCCAGAGTGGAGCCTTGAGCCCAGTGATCGTGCTCCCCCAAGAGGCTGAGGGGTGGGGACGGGACACTGCCCAGGAAGCCACTGCCCTCGTTCCCTGTTCCCTTCCTTACTTCCCGAGGAGGCGAGCAGAAGAATCCCGTGTGCAGACAAGAATGTACAGGTGTTCCTCCTTGTCGATTTCCTTCAGGTGGATCCCAAACTTCTACACGGTTAGAAAAGTGAGATCAAATCCCCTGCCGGAGGCACCGTGTCTGCTCTGAACGTTTCCTCGTCCCGGGGGTCCAAAGCCCTGGGCCAGGGCAGGAGAAGAAGGGGGCTCTCTGGTGCCTACAGGGGCAGTGGGACGCACGGCAGCAACCCACTCAGCGTGCTAGCAGGACAGGGAGGCACCAGGAAAGGGGCATGGGTTACGCTGCCGGAGGTGCACTGGAAGCTCAGAGGTAAGGACCACGGAAGGTTTCCAGAGCACACAGGGGGACAGGACCTGGGCCTGGAAGGGCCGCGGGCTGCCCCACTCCTCCCATCCCCCACCCACCTTTTCCAGAGTGTATGTGGCTCGTTCAATGATCTCCGGGAAATGTTCGTCGTATTCTCGGATGACGTCCTTCACCATGTCTGCGGGAGGGGGAGGGGCGGGGAAGGGGCCTGGGCTGAGCAGGGGGGCTGGAGGGCTGCAGCCAGTGGGCCCCCTGGCCCCGAGAAATGGAGCGACGGCGCCCACCGCCTGGAGGGTGGGGCGCATACCCAAAGGGAGGTCCGCAGTGCGGGGGCTGGAAGAGGGCCACAGGGGCTTACCTGAGCGCTTGATGGGGATCTTCTTGTAGTCCTTGATCATGAGGTATTTCACCAGCTTATTGGCCTGCACGAGGAGGAACGTGTGGGCAGATCAAGGCCTGGGGGGCCACAGAGCGCCGGACCGTGGGGGAAGAAAGGAGGCAGACGGGGAAAGCGGACTTCCTACCCTCTCTTGCAGCAGAGTCACGTTGCGGGGGGGCAAGCACAGTACGTGCCTCGACGGTATCTGGGACCTCGGGGCCATCGGGGGCCGAGGGGCCACCTGGGCCTGGGCCGACACCGGGGGCTGCTGCAATGCTCTCCAGGTTGCCGGGACTGCAGGAGGCTCTCTCTCCTCCTCGCTGCTCTCATATTCGTCATCCAGGTGTTTGGACTGTAATAGCATCACAGAGAAGAGCAACCCGAGGCTTGCAGACTCCCCAGGCAGAAGCACGCTGCACACACCTTACCCACAGCAGGCACTTGGCCGCACAAGGAGTACTACGAGCGGTGGCTGGCACGCGCTGAGAGCTTACTAAGTGCCAGGCTCCAAGCCAACCTCCTCTCCCACCAGCCCCGAGGGCGGAAACTACTGGGAGTCAAAGCCCACTCCACAAGCGTGTGCTGGAGAAACGTGGTGGACTCGGACTAGCCCAGAGGAGAGAGAGGAGGGACACGGTGGGGAGCAGAGGAGAAAGGGGGAGAGCATCAGCGAAGGAGTGTGGAGCGTTGGGCGGGTGGCAGGGGCTCACCTTCTTCGTCCTCTTGCCTCCCATCCTGGCCCAGGGCTCACCACTGTGCTGAGCAGTGGCAGCTGGCCCCTCAGGCTCAGGGATGCTTGTGGCCATCTTGGTGTTGGCAGCAGCTGTGGCAACAGCATTCGGAGGCTCCACCCACCGAGTCTTGGCCGCAGCCTTCCCAGACTTGGTGGCCTTGGGTCGGGTGGCTGCCGCTTCCTTGGCAGACACTGCCTGCGGCACACCAGAGGCAGCACTGGAGGCCCCTGTGGCAGGCTCTTGGGCTGGGGCAGGTCTCTTGGGGCGCATGAAGGCCATGCCACTGACCCCTGCCGGCTGAGTGAAATCAAACACATCATTCTGGCCCAGGAAAGCTGCCCGGGGCCGGGTGGCATCCGTCTCACTGGCACTTGGAGCCTGAGAGAAAGCACAGGTGGTGCCAGGACCCTCAGCACAGGCAGTACTAGGACCCTCGGCAGTAGCCTGGTGGTCCGGGGTGGCCGTCTGGGACTGTGTGCAGACTGCTGGCGCCCCACGGGTGGCCATCTCACTGGCGACTGACACCCCGGATGTCGGCGGCGAGGCCAGGATCGTCTCAGGGGTGGGCCCCTGGGCTTCGGCGTAGGTCATAGGCTGGGCACCGTCTCCCGTGGCCGGCAGCGTGGGTATCAGGTGGTTAACCACCAACTGGGTGAAGGACCTACGGGCAGCAGTGGCAGCGGCCCGAGCAGCTCGGTTGGAGGCCGCGGAGCGGGCCATATTGGCGGCACGGGCCTCCGTCTCATTGGCGAGGGTCTCTGGATCCAGCTGCAATGCCTCTACCAGGGTCTGGGCCAGCCCAGGGTTTTCCAGTTCCCAGGGCTCATTCTGCAAAGCCAGAGGGCAGAGGCGGGCAGGATAGAGAACGCGACACACTGGCACTGGCGCTCGGCCTTTGGCCCATTTTCGTCCCACCAGGCTGCACTACCCACCCCAAGGACTTCCAGATACCCCTCCTTTGAAAGGGCAGGGGAGGTTCGGGAAGGCCGGCGTGCCTTCCCCTCCTCGTTCCCACCCCGCCCCCACGAACACACAACACACACAGGGGAGTAGGCCCAGCGCAAGCAGGTGGCCAGGAAGGGGCCTCACCGATAAGATGCGAAAGCCGGAACCCAAGGTGTCAAAAGCTCTGAGCAGATGGATGTCGAAGGTGGTGAGGGTGCCATAGCCACCAAAAGCACCAAACTCTTCAAAGGCGTTGCCTCCAACCATCTCTTCCTCCCTGACTTGGTGGCTCCCCTCATCCATGTCTTCCACACTGGAGGGTCCAGATTGCACACTGTAGCTTCCCTCAGCCATGCTGTGGGTCCCAGGGAGCTGAGAGCTCTGCCTCAGGGGCAAGGGGCACGACCCAGTTTTGGGCAGTGTCTCTGGAGAGGTGAGGTGAGGTGAGGGGCAGCAGTCATCAGGTTACTGGACTGTACCAGACAGCACGGGTGGGGTGGGGGGAGCGGTGTCTACAGGGACAGAGCTGTGGCAGTGGGACAGAAGAGATCTCTGAGGGACCCCACTCCACTCCCACCGAAAGGAGAGCTTAGGATGGGCAGGCTCCCCACTCCGTGGCTAGATCTTGAGTAAGGGCCGTATCTGAGGGCTCAGGGCCCAAAAGTCCCAAAGGAGATGCCCTGAAACCTGGAGAAACAAAGGGCTTGAGTTGAAAGGCCAGAGCAGGAGACCATGATAACCGGGATGGGTGAGAGGTGAGGGAGGGGTGGGGTGGGGAGGGGAGGGGAGCAAATAGGAGGGCTCAGACCGCGTGGACAGTAGAAAGCTCCGGGAAACGGAGGTCTGGAAGGGCGTGGGGGGGGCGCGGAGATGGGCGTCTCACAACTAACTGATTCAGGTCTAGGTTGAGCCCAGAGGATGGGAGGCTCGGACCTAGGTAAGACTTGAACTGGATCCCTGGACAGCTCAAAGTCCAAGGACTGGGGCTCCAGGAGGGCGCCAGCAGTCAGCTCAGCTGGAGTAATCTAGGAGTGGATGCGGTGGGGGTAGGGCCTCGGGTGTAAAGCAGCTCTGCTCAGCGTCTGTCACATCGGTTGGGACTGCAGGCTCCTAGGCTCGGGTCGGGGCGTTTGGGTCTGAGGGTCGTGGTGGTGGGGGTGCTATCTCGACGTCGGGTCTAACGAGGTTCCCGCTCTGAGCGCTAGGGCTTTGTTCGGATCCAGAGGGCAGGGAGAGGGCGCAGCGCGTCGGCTGGGGCTCGTTCTCCTTCCCACCCGGTCCTGTCTGGGGCTGGATCCTTACCTTCCCTGGGGCTCCAATGGCGTCGGTGCTCAACACCAGGAACCCCGCAGCCGCACCCTCGCCTACCGCTGCCAGCACAGCAGCTCCGACCACCCCGCCCCTTTTCTCCGCGCTCAGCCGCGGCTGCGGAGCCTGCGCATGCGCGGACCCCTCTAGCCGGCCCGCTTTCCCAACAAAAGCCTTTTCCTCCAGGTCCCCAGTGCGCATGCGATCCCCCGGCTGGGTGGGCTGCGGCGAGGATGTGCTGCGAGGAGGGGTGGGGGTGGGGCCTCTTCCCGCCATATTTTTTTTTTAACCCTTCCTCTTCGGACAGCCAGCTAGTACATTCATGCCCTGCAGTGCAGCTGAGCCCACCCATTCATCTGCCCTCAGTAGACCACTCTCTTGCCAAATGCTTCTCAGTTCTGCCCTTTCACCCAAGCTCTTCAGGCCTGTGTGCGTTTATGTCCCACTTGCCCAACGTGTCCCCTTAGGCCGCATGCAATGGTCTCCAGCTGGGTCTGTAAGGGCAAGGAGTGGAAACCTTCATCCAGCGGGGCCAGAGAATGGAAATGGCCGGGGAATGGGCGCTCCCCTTGTGTTGGCCTCCACTGGCCATCTCCACCCAGGTCTCCCAGACACACTGGGAGCATCTGCTTCCCCTGCTGCCTTTTATGCAGCTTTGTAGGTCTCGGCCGTTCAGGCTCAGTGCCTGGGCTTGTTTTCCTTTCACAGCAGCCCTGGGAGGTGGAGGTCAGCACCCGCGTTTCACAGACCGGGAAGCTGAGGCATCCACACAACCCACGAACCGGACGAGGTCGTGGGGCTAGCAAACAGAAAAGGCAAAATTTGCGCCTGGGTCCCCCCTGACCGCAAAGTCCGTGTCCCGCTAGCGGTGCTCTCCTCCTCCTTTTGAATCATGACGGGCCTCACCTACCCAACATCTCCCCAGCAAGCAACATCTGGGGTAAAATGTCCTCGGTCCGATCATTCGTCCTATCCTCCAAGAAGTTTCACGGTCCATGAAGTTAGCAGGCGAGTTATCTCCTAAGCCACTGAACCGATGTCTGGGTCCCTGGGTGTCAGTTTCTCCTGGTCAGGTCAGTCCAATCAAACAGTCGGCAGTGCCTGTTATAGAAGGAAATGGCCTTAGAGGTGGCCTTCTGCCACAGTCAGGTTGTGTGTGTGTGTGTGTGTGTGTGTGTGTGTGTGTGTGTGTGTAGACTGACCCGTCAGGTATCTGAGCAGAGGCGCTTGTGTGGGTACTACAGACACCGAGGGCAATGCTTAGAACACACTCGGGGTTTGAGTCCAGAGGGCAGCTGGTCCAGGTTTCCGAAGCTTCTTCAAATGATGCGAGGACAGGCGGGCGATGGCAGCCTGGCAGACTTTCCTGGTTTCCAGTTTGCTTCGGGAGTTCCAGCCATCCTCCTGAGTAGCTCATTCGGGAGCGGGTACGAAGGGGGTCCCTGCATCAGCCTGTGGGGTGATTTCTCTGGACTCTGTGACGGGAATTTATTTTTTGCTTCCCTTGTCCCAGGCACCATTGCAAATGTCTTACGTGGTGATATTTCCCTGTAGTAATCCGCTGGGTCCTCACAAGAGTCTGGTTCTCCTCATTCTGTGGATGAGAATGCCGACGAACACAGTAACTTGCCCAATGTCCCAGGGTAGTAAGCCATGGAGATCTTGTTTGTATATACAAAATATCATGGGAATCTATTTAAAGTTTTCCCAGTACAGTGTTAGCTCTAAATAGTGCTAGTTTAGCGAACTGGTTGCATTATTTTTAAATTGAGTTTATTTTTAACTGACACATCCAAACATAAGGAGTATACGTGACAGAGGGATGCCATGTGGTGTTCTGATACGAGTACACATCGTGTGATGTTCATTTTGCTCTTTTCTGTTTTCACCTGATTTGTAAAACCATAAAATTGTAAGTTAAGGGGGTGCCGCGTAAGGTTCCATATACATGCACATATACGCACATACTGCACGACACTGAAATCAGTCCAACGTTTATCGATTGCCTCAGACATTTCCCATGTCCTCTTAGTGAAAACATTCAAAATTCTTTCTCCTGTCTCTTTGAAGTATGAGTGTCTAATTGCTGCCTGTAGTCACCCTCCGTGTACCACGCCAGAAGTTCTTGCTGTTAACTGTATTGTAGTACCCATCGATCAACTTTTTCCCATCCCTATCTCCTGGCCTCTTCCGATCACCATTCTGCTCTCGACTTACATGAGATCCCCCCTTTTTTAGGTACCGCGTACTAGTGAGATCATGGGGTAGTTGCCCTTGTGTGCCTGGCCGATTTCCCTTAGTATATGAATGTCTGGTTCCATCTGTGCTCCCCCGGTGACAATGTTTCATTCTTTTTAAAGGCAGGGTAGTATTCCATTATCTCATTCTTCTGTTAGTGGACCTTTCTATCGACTGTTTTACTTGGTTGTTGTCAACAGCTGTGACTTGTCGATAGCTGTGACTTTAAGAGTACTAAAACATCTTTGTCATTTTGATTTTGCTTTCCTTGCCTATATAGCCAATACTGGAATTTCTGGATCATCTCCCGTACTGGTTTTAAAACACTGAGAACAATGGAAAAGCGTTCCGGGAAATAAAAGCACAGGGATACCGTCATTTTCTTCCAGGGCATCGGGAATTTACAGAAGGGATAAAGAGTAGTTGTTGTTGAACTGCGACTGTGAAGGTGGATGTGCTCGTGCAAAGGATTTAAATTGAATCCTTTTCTTAGCTTAGCTAATAAGTGTAATCAACTTTAAGTAGATGAAAGAATTAGATATAAAACCTGAAAGTACAACACCCGTGAAAGAAAACTTAGGGAGCAAACCCCTTGACATCGGTCTTGCCGACGATGTTTTGGCTTCGACGCCAAAATCACAGGCTAGAAATGTTAAAATAAACAAGTGTATCTACATCCAAATAAAAGCACAGCAAAGAGATAATAAACAAAGTAGGAAAGCCATCTACAAAATGGAAGAGTATATTTACAAACTAGGTATCTCACGCAAGGCCCAACTTCCAAAATAAACCCATGAGCACCTCATACAACCCAATAGCAAAGAAACAATCCAGTTTTGCAAAACGGGCAGAGGACTCAAGTACACCTTGTTCCAACGAAGGCATAAAAAATGGCTAAGAGAGACGTGGGAATATGTGTACCATCACTAGTCTTCAAGAAAATGCAAAGTAAAAGCACAATGGTCCTCATCATCTCACACCTGATAAGATGATTATTACTGAACTGGCAAGAAGTCATAGCGATGGAAAGCCCACGGGAGAAAGTGAATCTCTGGAGGTTGCGAATGGTGGTACAAATGAGTGTAGGCAATGTGGAAAACTGTATGGAAATTCCTAAGAAAAATAGAATTACCGTGCCACTCAGCAATTTCACGCTGAGTGTATAGCCAAAGAGAAGGAGGTCAGTATGTCGGAGACATCTGTACTCCCCTCTTCATGGTAAATTACTCTCAGCAGCGAAGATATGAAGACAACCTAACCCGGGTCCATCAACTGATGAATGGATAATGAAAATGTGATAATAGAGACCATATACATTACGACGCATAATGATACATGATTACGCAATGACATGTGAACCATGCAACGAAGAAATCCCACTTGTGACAACATACACCACACTGGAAGAGAGCATGCGAAGTGAAATCATCCAGACACAGAAAGACAAGAACGTATGAAGTCACCTATATGCGGCATCTAAGTCAATTGCACTCATGGCAACTGAGAGTACGACAGTAATTGTTTGGGACCTTCGGGGTGGGGGTTTGGACACGCCGAAAATTTACACAATCTTTCTGTTTTAACACGAATGAGCTCTGGGGGTCTGATCTACAGTGTGTTAACTATACTTACCAAATTGTATCGCATAGTTGAAATTTCTAAAAGAGCATGTTTTAAGTGCTCTCACCGCATCCAAGAAGTAATAACTGAGAGGTGATGCATGTGTTAGATGACTTGATTTGGGTAACACTTCAGGAAATGGAATATGTCAAATTATCACGTTATGCACTTTAAAAGCATTGAATATTTTTTGTTAGTTATGCCTCAGTAATGTTGGGGGGTGGCGGTCATAGAAATTCAGAGTAAGTTAAAGCTCTTAGGAAGACCCGTTGTGACCATTAGGGGAAAACCAATTGCATGTTGTGTGTCATGCATGCTACCTGTAACTTTGCCAAGTGTGTGAGTGTGTGTGTTTGTGTGTGTACACGAACACGTATGCAGGAGAGACGAGGAAGGTTGGGGGATGGTCCGTCTTAGTCTGATTTCTGTTGTTGTAACAAAGTACCTGAGATCGGGTAATTTATAAGTAATAGGGGTTCATTTAGCTCATAGATCTGGAGGTGGGTCAATCCAAGAACGGGGTACCAACATTTGCTTGACACCTGGTGAGGGTCTTTTTGCTACATGATAAAATTGCAGAGGGCATCACATGGTGATTCTTTTAATTATGAACTCACTACTGCTGTCACAGGGACCCATCTGCATGATTTCGTCTCATCCAAATATTTCTCAAGGACCCCACTGCCAAATTGCAATAGCACGTTAAACTGAGGATTGAGTTTTCAAGGCATGTACTTTTGGGGGAGACATCCCACCACAGATCATAGATCATCTTTTTCTTTATTTCCCCTTTCTTTCAAAGATCAGGCACAGATCATCTGTGTCTTCCCTTTGCTCATTCTATATGAGGACTATGGTGTCCAAATGAAAACTTCCAGTCACGTGGAAGCCCGTGGACCAAACACCCGACGGTCCGATAGCACGCGACTGTTGGAAATTCAGCAGCGATTTGAGGGCATACAAGTATAATACTTCACGTGGTTGCGAGGGTAACATCACAATGAATGTGTATCACAGGAAGGGTGAGATGTAGAAAGGGAGTACTTTGAATCTCTCATTATGAGGATTTTAGGTGCAGTTAAATCAGTGTGAGATATAGAGTGAACGTCAATTACATTTAAGGTGTGGGATATCAGAATATCTTCTCGGTGTCTCATTAAATTCATTTTATTTAAAAGAATTTTAACTGACTTCTGTAAGCACATACAATCGTATATGTTAATAGGTTACCGTGTGATACTTGAATACGTGTATACTGGGTATGGTTTAATTCAGGGTAGAATATCTATTTCCTGAAATATTTATCATTTGT